TGAGAAAGGGAGAAAAGTACCTCTTTCTCTACCTGCTGTATCCCATGCATAATCTTATAGACATCGATCATATCACCCCTCAGCTGTCGTTTCCCTTAGATGCCTCAGATCTCCCTTCTCCTGATCTTTCGCCCCCCTATTTCTGGCTGTTGAATGGTCATTGGGGGACATGAAAGGGGGGCCTCCAGTCCTGTGAGATCCAGTCTGCCTGTGGCTGCCCGAAAAACACGTGGGGAAATGGCACATCCACCATATTTGATGCTCCAACTACTGTGGCTAGGCCTGTAGAGGCAGACGGGGCCTGCAGAAAAGGGATACTGCCTGGGGCCTTGGCCTCGGAAAAGCCCTCCGATAAGACCCTGAGGATCTGAAGTGGGGGTAGACTCATCATGAGAGCCGGTTTGGTGTAGTGGTTAAGTGCGCGGACTCTAATCTGGGAGAACCGGGTTTGATTCCTCACTCCTCCACTTGCAGCTGCTGGATGACCTTGGGAAAGTCGTAGTTCTGGCACAGCTGTCCTTGAAAAAGAGCCGTTTCTGTCAAGAGCTCTCTCCGCCCCACCTACCTCACAGGGTGTCTGTTGTGGGGAGGGGAAGGGAAAGGAGTTTGTAAGCCACTTTGAGACTCCTTCAGGTAGTGAAGGGCAAGGTATAAATCCAATCTTTTCTTCTTCTTTTACCTCACAGGGTGTCTGTTGTGGGGAGGGGAAGGGAAAGGAGGTTGTAAGCTGCTCTGAGACTCTGAGTGAAGGGCGGGGTGTAAATCCAATCTCTTCTTCTTTTTCTTCATTGCCTATGAAACTCTGGCCGCTAGCTATCACCGATCCCCCAGTGAGCCCAGCAGCATCCTTTTCGGCACGGCAGTGCTCTTCCTTGGCCACCTCAAGCCGTCCTGACCCTTTCTGGTCTAGTTGAGGCAGGTTGTCTTCATCGTGGGAGTCAGGGGGAGGTCTGAAGCCTCGGACCTTCCTGATCTCCCCGTCAGCTTAGAGGAAGGAGACATCAGTTTTGCCTGCCCCTCCCTGTTACGTATTGGGTTAATTGTGTAGTTTCGCAAGCGTGAGCTTCAGTCACAAGCTCCACAGACAGCATCCTAAACTACACAACCGGATTGGTCGCTGTCACAAGCAGACCAATCTGGAAAGACTCTCACTTCCAGCGGGAACAATTCCCATTGGACCCAAGCACTCATTGTTGATTGGATGTTATTGTTTCAGGAGGTGTGGTTTCCCTGGTTCAAACTGTATATAGTTGGGTCGTTCTATGTGTTGTTGTTTGTCTGTGTTCTGAGCTAATAAAGAAATCACTTGTTTGAAACGCTGCCTCGATCTCAGGACATAACACTTCCCTTTTCCAAAGCGTTGGATGGGGAGGGTTCTCCTTTAACCAATCTTTTTTCTTCATAGGCCCGGAACCCTGAATCTTTTTGGAAGAGTGGTCCTCCATTCTTTCTTGCTGGGATCCATCTGACTCAGGGGTAAAAGTGTCCCTTTTTTTTAAGCGGGTAAGCTGAGCGAGGCTACGGTGTCCTGCTGGAGTGGCAGGGCTATTCAAACTGAAAGGGCGCCCTCACTCTGTCCTGGAAAAGCACACCGAAATTTGTATAGCCCTACCTGGAGCGAGAGGAGGTGTGACCACACCAGTTTGGATGACTTCCCCCACTGAAGGAGAACCACCTTTTTCTCAAGCACAGCTGAACTAATTTCCTACTCGGAGTGCAGGAAGCAGTTCTAGTGATGGAATTCGGGTCTGAAAATACTCCTTGCAGTGCTTAGGGTTTTTTGGTTTTTTTTAAAGGTCACTATTCATATTGGGGGGTTTCTTATTTTGTAAAATAATAATCATAATCTCTACCCTGTGAAGTCTAAGATGGCTCCGGTGCTCTTCGAGGAATTTAGACCCAGCCTGTCGAACAAAGGAACCTTTCAAAAAAGATGGAATGCAAGCCGAGGACCTACCGGGGCGGCTGCCTCGCTTGCCAGAAAAAATATTGTTCGTCCCAACGAATGACAACACATGTTCGCTCCGGGGGGAAACTGGCTCACCGCATGACGTGGTGGAGCGGAGATTCAGTCAGTGAGGCAAGCGACCCCCTTGAGGAGCTCGGAGTTATTTTTAAAAGCTGGGCTCTCTAATTAATTTCACTCGATGTTTGCTAGACATTTTTTTTTTGCAGCCCTGAAAGGACTTCATTGTCCATAACGTTAAAAAAAAAAGTGAGAAAAGCCCTCAGGAGACTGACATATAGGGCATGGAGGCTAACTCTCCTGCAGCAACTGATACACTGCCCCTGAACACGGAAGTTCCACTCAGCCGCCTGCTAATTTCGATGCTGTTCTTTCTCCAAAGACCTCAAGGCAACTTGCAAGTTTCTTCCACCACCACCACCCCCCCTTCATTTTACCATCGCAACAACCAGGGCTCTTTTTGGGCAGGAACGGAGTTCCGGCTGGCTCCCGAGTTGGCCACGCCCAGCAGGAGCTCATTAGCATAATAGGCCCCACCCAACAGCAGGAACTCATTAGGATTGGCTACATTAGGGGTGTGTGGCCTAACATGCAAAGGGTTCCTGCTACAAAAAAAGCCCTGGGCTTTGACAACAAACAAGGTAAACAGAATAAGAAGGGAAAGGTGGGTGTGGCTGGATGACCACACTTCTGGTAACACGGGGTGTGGCCTAATATGCTAATGAGTTTCTGTTGTTGGGTGTGGCCTATTATGCTAATGAGTTCCTGCTGGACTTTTTCTACAAAAAAAGCCCTGGCAACAACCCTGACAGGCAGGATAGGCCGAGTGACAGTGATTGAACCGCACATATTGATCTGTGATGAGATTCAGTTTTGATGCTGTTCTTTCTCCAAAGAGCTCAGGGCAACTTGCATGGTTCTTCTACCCCCCCCACACTTTATCATCACAACAACCCTGCCAGGTAGGTTAGACTGGGTGACAGTGACTTGGCGACACATATTGACCTGTGATAAAATTCAATTCACAACAGAATACAGACGACGGGTGGGCAAGAGCTCAGGGCAGGGCAACTGGATGTATGAGTTCAGTGGGCTGTATGGATGGAGATGATGAGCACTGGTAAACACAGTGCAGAGAAGAAAAGCCAGTCCTGGTCCAAGAACATGAACGACTGAAGCCAGATTGCTTTGGTGTGGCAGCTTTGGAGAAGACTATGGTATCACAGGCCCCCTGAGCACCCTCCACCCCCCCAAAGTCTGCTTTCCCCAAGCCCCACACCCAACCCTCTGTAGCTTGGAGTCTCACAGTCAGCACATGTTTGCAGACAGAAGATCCAAGGCTTGAACCCTAGCTAAAAGGATCTTGGGAAGAAGGCCTTTCTTGAAACCCTGGGGAGCCCCTGCCAGTCAGACAAAGAAATGCAGGGATGAATCGTCTTGATGGTAGAAGCAGGGCCGGCTTGCTCACAAGGCGAACTAGGCGTTTGCCTAGAGCGGGCCGGCCCTTAGGGGCGCCAAACTGCACCCGCCCCACCACCAAAAGCCCCCCCAAGCCCTGCATGAAACTAGTCCCTGACCGGCCCTTGGGGGGGCGCTACTTTTGCCTAGGGTGCTGAAAAACCACGGGCCGGCCCTGGGTAGAAGGCAGCAGTCTATGATCGCCACAAGCCAAGATCGACAACAGTGGCCTTCTCCTTTCAGCCAGAGGGGCCGGAGTTCAGCAGAAGGTCTTCGGTTCTACGGCCTCTCGAGTTAAAGAAGGATTCTCAGGGGGTGGGTGCTGGGATAAACCCCTCTTGGCTGGAGACCTTGGAGCTGCCCGTCAGAGGAGATGAGACTGTTCAGTTGACCAATGGTGTTATGGAACCTTTACAGATGCTGCTGGGTGGATTATTTGTTTGGGGTAAAGTGTCCTTGGATTGTGTTACAATCCATTCTTTTTTGAGGGGAGGGTTCTACTGCCATTATGATTTTGATATTTCCACATGGGGGGGGGAGCAGCGAATGTGGTGAGGGTGGGCAGGGACATCATCTGCAACCCCCATCCCTGTGCCTCTTGCTGCTGTCCCTGCCGCTAACACACCAACAATCAAGCCAGCCCCCCCCCGCCGTAGCCCAGCAATGCCCCCCTTTCTCCCTTCACAGCTGAGCCGCAGTTGACACCACGGCTCAGCTATGAACTGAAAAACAGCCTGTTTGAGGGCTGAAAAGAGGCGGGATGTGTAGCTTGGTTCTGCCATTTTGAAGGTGGCGCTTAGATCCACTCCCTCCTCCCCAGAGGGGCTGCAGGTGGAGCTGACACATGGACGCTTCGCCTACAACCACCCCGCACTTCCTCCTTTGAGCCACATCAAGAGTTTTTGCTTTTGCCCTGACCTGGATAGCTAAGCAGGGCCAAACCTGGCAAGTATTTGGATGGGAGACCTCCAGAGAATACCAGGGTTGGGAGGTCAGAGGGAGGCCATCAAGCCACTTCTCTGAACATCCCCCGTGCCCCAGTAGGAGTTGTCAGAGGTTTCCATGACTTCCAGGCATGGGCGCACGCGCACATACAAATGCAAAAATACCAGGAGTTTTTCCTTTCATCTGGCTCAAGGAAGAAAGTCCCAGATGGCTCCCAAAGTTGAGTTTGGAAACTCCCCCCAAATGGGTGTGTGTGGGTGTACGCCAGGGGTCCTCAACCTTTTCGAGCCTGTACGCACCTTTGGAATTCTGATACAGCATGGTGGGCACCACCACAAAATGGTTGCCCTAAACTGACTGCCATGGCTTACCTTCAGTCACACAGTGAAGATCCGTGTGCTGTGGTAGCAGCTGCCACCAAAGCAATATTTTAAAAATCAGTTGGGGACCTCTGGCATATGAAGTGTTCTATACAGAGGGGAAAAATCCACATGGAGAAGTAGCCTTTAATACCGTAAAGCCACTTTGAATCTATTCTTCTGGGCAAGATAAGCTACACATCTACTGCCACCACCCCGGCACAGAAGACTGATAAGCCCATGATAGGTGAGGCAAAGAGTTGCCATCTTACCCACACAGCGGGATCCATCCGGACTGGTCATGAAGCCTCGTGGGCAGGCACAGACGTAACTGCCAGCCGTGTTGGTGCACTCACCACCATCGCACACGCTGGAGATACTGGTACACTCATCCACATCTGGGGAAGAGCAATTGACAGCATGGTGAATGAGCAACTGACAAGTCTTAACAACTGCAAACAGTCCCCTGAATGAGCAAGGTACGGGGAAGGGGCAGAGTCCTGGGAGGTACAAATGAAAGAGAAACAGGCATTTGAAAGGAGAAGAAGAAGAGATTGAATTTATACCCTTCCCTTCACTACCCAAAGGAGTCTCGGAGCAGCTTATAATCCCTTTCCCTTCCCCTCCCCACAACAGACACCCCGTGAGGTAGGTGGAGCTGAGAGAGCTCTTTCGAGAACTGCCCTTGAGAGAACAGCTCTGAAATAACTTGTAACTGACCCAAGGTCACACCAGCAGCTGCATGTGGAGGAGTGGAGTATCATCCAGTTTTCCCAGGTCAGAGTCCGCACTCCTAACCACTATACCAAACTGGCTCTCCACCTGAGTCTTGGAACCAGGGATACAGAGAGGGTGGATGCTAGCAGCTGATGTCCAGCAGCACCTTAAAGACTCTGTGGATTCCACCATAATGTTTTGTGAGTCGGAGCTCAGTTCTTCAGATGCATGGAGCATATATCTGTTGAGGGTGGTGAAAAGTGTGCTACCTCTGCGTAGCAACCTTGTACTTCCTTGGTGGTCTCCCATCCAAATACTAATCAGGACCGACCCTGCTTAATTTCCAAGGTCTGACGAGATTGGGCTAGACTGGGCAATCTAGAACAGGCATATATCCATTTGGCAGATACATTTATACTTGACCAGTGTTCCCTCTAAGCTGAGTTAGTGTGAGCTAGCTCTCAGATTTTAACCTCCGGCTCACACATTTTTGTCTTCGCTCAGGAAGGATGGCTCCAGAGCAAACTAATTTATGTTGTAGCCAAATGGCTCACTCACAACTTTAATGCCAGTAGCTCACAAAGTAGAATTTTTGCTCACAGGACTCCACAGCTTAGAGGGAACATTGCTTAAGACTACTGTATAGAAATATTGCTTTCTAAATCCACATGCCTTCTCCTGTGATTACATTCTGATGACAGGCTGTGCCTTATTTCCTGTTGCAAGCCAAATGGTGAGGCCAGATGGCCTGAGCAACTTTACAACCCACATTCTTCACACTTCCATGCTAAAAGCTAAACTTGAAGGCTCCTGGTCTACGTTGACCATGTAACATAGGCAATGAAGACGCTGGGGTTTGGGTCACCTGACTGCAGGCAGGGCCTACAAACCCCTAGCCTATCCCCACACGCAGCTATGACAACCAACAATTGGGCACACACCCTGTCCACTCGTGATTGGCTGATGGCCACAGCTGATTATGATTGGAATTGGGGTATAATTTCTGTTGATCTCTATGAGAGTGTCTCTCTTGTGCTCTCTTTCGCTCTCTTCTCTCCTCTTGCCATTGTCTGTTTATTGCACCTGAAATGCTGTCTCTTGGGAAACAAAGAGCTGCTTTGTGAATTGGACCACATGCTTGTGCAAGATGGGATTTCCCTTCAAAATCCCTTGGTATATCCTTGGACTGTTGGATGTTCCTGAATTTGGTAACTATGAATCTCATTAATGTGTGGTTAAGGCAAATAGCCATAGATTTTGTTATTTTGGTATCCTAATAGTCTTTTGCTATGCTCTGTACTGAATAAAGATCCTTCTAATTTCTACTTGTTTCTGATGTGTAATTGAACTCAAAGGCTAAATCTTGTGGCTGATGCTGACCACATAAACTACCTTTATTAAGAGTAAAGTGTGCATCTCTGAGTAGAGCTGCTGAGGTGTAAACCCCAGATGCCAACTAAGGGCTTGAATCTCTTCCCTTAGGAAAGTGTGCATCTCTGAGTAGAGCTGCTGAGGTGCAAACCCCAGATGCCAACTAAGGGCTTGAATCTCTTCCCTTAGGAAAGGCAGGGACTATTGAAAGAGATTCTGGTGGCAAATTGTTCTGAAAACCAGAGAGGGTATAGACTACCTCGTGGTTGTTGTTTAATGTGCTAAAAGTACAGGGTTCCCTCACATTCCTGGACTGGACTGAGTGGGTTAATCCTGTACACTACAAACAACAGAAACGTGGGAGGGATAACAAATCACTCCCAACTCTTGATAGACAGGTAAAATGAGATTAATGACAAAGCTAATTGAGGAGAGGATGGGGTGAGACATTATAGCAAGATACAGTTAGAAAAGTACAGAGGCCCTATAGAGGCTAGCAAAATGTATTATTAACATCTGTAAAACTTGGGAGGTACTAAGATACCAGCACCTGTAGTGGCTGAGAAATTCCAAATTCTTGCTCAAACCTGGGAGGGAAATAGTACCGAATCTTTTTAATGAATCCTAACTGTAATGTATCCATCTCCGACCGCGTGCATGGTGAGGTCGCCATGCGGTCATGCGAAGTGGCTGAGCTTCGCTCTCAGGAACAATGGGCCAAGCGTATCATAGCCCGCACCAATAGGAGGGCTAGGCTCCTGGCCGAGAACCCATGGAACTCTCGGCCACTATAATAACCAATCACTTGTGTGTGGGTGTGTTTTGGGTGTCGGACTGTAGCACATATAAACCGGCCTGCGAGCCGGTTCTAGTTGTCTTGTTCTGAACTAAATATAAGTATGAGAGCTGAAATCGCTAGTAAGTCTCAGTATTTTTCACTGGTGACGAAGGTGGGATTCTAACTCCCATGAACAATGACTCGGACGAAGATTCGAGCACTGCATCGAGCCCCAGCACCGAGACTGCTACACGCCACTCCGCATCGTGCCTGGGTGCGCCGGTAGCGGCTCATCGCACCGCTCCTTGCTCCGTACCTCACCCTGCTGACCCCGAGAGCAGCAGCGCTTTCCGACTCGCTCCGGCCACCGCCACCTCCGTTCCCGAGCTATCATCACCACGTGGAAGCAGCACGATGGCTACCTCCCAGGAAAGCATTGCCGCTTTCGATATCTCCTGCCCTGCACAGTGGGAGACCTGGCTAGAGATCCTGGAGAGTTACTTCGACTGCCATCACATCGTAGATCCGGGTAAGAAGAAGGCCCATCTCCTCCAGTCCTCAGGCATAGACACCGTCTTGCTGCTAAAGGACCTGATTGTGCCTAAACAGACTAAGGACAAATCATACGTGGCGCTGGTGAAAGCGCTGACCAACCACCTTTCACCAAAGCCCACAAAGTTTGTTGAGCGCATGGACTTCTTTGCACGGGTCCAGGGGCCAGACGAGCCGGCTTACGAGTTGTTGGCCGGGCTCCGGCGGGTGGCCACCAGGTGCTCGTTTCCCGACCTGGCGGACGCCTTGCTAAACCAGTTCCTCTTGTGTCTCCGGTAACCCAAGCTTCGGAGGAAACTAGTTAGCCAGGATGACCTGAACCTAGACAAGGTGCTCCGGGAAGGTGCATCAAGACCGCCTACGAAAAGGTGCATCAAGACCGCTGCGTGCGGGTGGTCCATCGCACTCAAGCAGCCCTCAAGTTGGACGACTCAGAAGATGAGGAAGTGCTCCAGGTACGCCGCCGTTCATCCCAACAGCAGCATCGCTCGGGGGAACCGTCCTCGGCCAAAGCCTCCTCTTCATCGTCTTCCTGTGCCAGCTGCGGAGAGGCACATGAACGCAGGATGTGCCGCTTCAGGGACACAGTCTGCCGCTCCTGCAACAAGCCGGGCCATTCACCAGGGTCTGCCGTTCCTGGAAACAGCCCCAGAAAACTTCTGCTCACCAGACAGCATCAGACCCACACACTGACCTTCATACCCTCTCTGCCCATCACCAGCAGCACCAGGTATGTAACTTGCCCCCCGATAGCCCAAATAAGGTACATGTTATGGTGTTAATAGAAGGGTCTCCCTGCAGTATGGAAATTGACTCTGGCTCTTCCTATTCGATAATTTCCGATGAAACTCTGCGCTCACTCTGCCCACAGGGGGGACCCCCTCTGCGTAAGCCACAGGGGTTTAGGCTACGGGACTTTAAGAAGAACCCTGTGGCGGTTCGGCGCTGGGGCAAGTTTACAGTGCAGTTTCAGGACTTCCATGGAAAACTGAACTTGCTGCTGGTGGTGGGGAGGCTCTCCAGTCTGCTGGGACTTTCCTGGTTCGGGCCCCTGGGATTGACGATCATGGGGGTGAATTAGCTATGGGCTGAGGATTTTGCGGCTGTGTGCAATGAGTTCCCCAGGGTTTTTGACGGCACACTCGGCAGATACACCGGGCCCCCATATCCTTAGACCTCGACCTGGCCATCCGCCCCGTCAGGGTCAAGGTCAGACACCCCCCTATTGCGATGAGGCCAAAGATCGAGGCAGAGCTTGATCGCTTGATTGCCCAGGGGGTGTTAGAGCCCATCGCTTCTGCACGGTGGGTGACTCTGATAGTCACCCCGGTCAAGCCTAATGGCGAAGTGCGGATTTGAACAAAGTGCACATTGAACAAAGTGCACATTGAACAAAGCCCTCCAAGACCACGCTTATCCTGTACCGGTGGTTAGCCACGTGTTAGCCGCACATGGCAGGAGCGCGGATCTTCGGCAAACTGGACTTGGCCCAGGCCTACCAGCAACTGCCAGTGGATGCTGCCACGACAGAAGCCCAAATGATAGCGACACACAAGGGGGCTTTCAGAGACTTTGGGGAAGAAAAAGAAAGTACACAGACTCCAGTTTGGGATATTGGTCGCACCGGGCATCTTTCAATCTTTCATGGACAATTTGTTAAAAGGTATTCCAGGAGTGCAGCCATTTCTAGATGACGTACTCATCGTGGCCCCAGATGCCTCGACCTTCGCTGACCGGCTGTGGGCGGTGCTCCAGCGTTTTGACATGGCCAGCCTGAAGGCCAAGCGAGAGAAATGCTTGCTCAGGGTTCCCAAGGTGGAGTTCTTGGGGTTCGCCGTGGACGCCCAGGGAATTCACCCCACGGAAGAAAAGACAACAGCTATCCCACAGGTGTACCCGCCTACATCCAAGACTGAATTACAGACTTTCTTAGGCCTGTTAAATTTTTATCACTCCTTTCTCCCTCTAAAGGCCGTGGTG